CAGTTTATAATTTTGAAGGTCATATTAATCAGTTGATCGTGTCATATGCTCATAAATACGAATCATTTTCTGTGTATGCGACAATAGATACTAATTTGTTAGTCGCCATGTTTTTCACATGAACATTTCTATTGCAATAGTTTTGTATTTACTTTGTCATGATTTAATTGAGTGTTTTATAGACTGAATTGATATATCAAAACAATGTACCACATAGCAGACCAACTAACTGCTGAAATTGTAAAATGTAAATATCCCTAAAGCTTGAACTAAATTAGAGCTTCTTAAGAAAAGGAAAAGTCTCGGTAGTTTTGTACACCAATATTTTCTTGTTCGAATTGAAGTGAAATCAACATTTTATAACATGTTTTTATCATAATCATGTGTGACTATATAAAATAAGTTGATAGGCGTGATAAAAATTCAGAGTATAAATTGTTTACAAAGAAAACATATATTTTAATAGGCACTTAAAACTAATGTTCAATTACTCATCTGACAAAACCTATAAGGTAACATAACTTACCTACAACAAATAATTATTTTTTTCACTTATGTTGTGATCAATGTAATTAATTTTCATGGTGCTGACTTCAGCTGCCTCTGACTAGGGTCAGTGTAATTTAGTCGTGAATTCAAGCTCTCAAAGGTATATCATATCATGAATTGTAGTAGTAGTAGACAAGTATTGAACTTTTGCTGATATACGTGGCTTATGAAACCTGGTCAAAATGTAACAAAAAATAAAGGTAATCTTGTTATTTATTTCTAGCGAATGTTTATTGAGTCAAAACACAGGCTTTGTATATAATTTTGAATTTTCTTTATGAAAGAGGGAGCAAACGAGCAGACGGGTCACCTGATGGGAAAGTAACTAAGGCCGGCCATGAACGCCTGCAACTCGAGAGTGCCAAGCGCGTTGCCACAGGTTTCAAGGTCATGTCAATCCGGAAATACCAAACACGATGATTTTAAAAGTTTCTTGAAAAGCGCTCAGTGGTGGAGTGCCAGTTATCCAAGTGATGGGGATGAAAATTTTGCAGTAAGAAACAATGAAGGAAAGTTGCGGTCGGTATTAGTCCGTACGATTCCTAGGAGCGCTCTTCATGATACATTGAATACATTCCATAGATAATGCATAGTGAAGGTACATCTCTAAGTAACGACGAAAGGGTTGAGTCGATCGGAGATGTTTCGACTATCGACGATTTGAGTCGCTCTGCGTAGGAATCGGTCCAGAGGGAGAAGCTGGGACTGGTATAGAGATAAGAACAGTGTTCCATATGCGGATAGACTTGCACCTTATAAGAATATATTGTATGATGCCTATATTTTTTTAATGAAATAATCCATTGGCTTGACACACATACTTACGAATTATGCACAGCACTGCACAGATGGCGCAGTGGTTTAAGTGGTCGCCACGCCGCTTCCTACTGCGCCGAGTGTTCAAACCCCACATGGGACGACACTTTGTGTGATCCACAAATTGTTGTTCTAAGTCTGGGTATTCTTTGTGTCCGTTTCATGTATGTTTGTAAAGTCCCCCGCGACACAGGATATATTCCTAATGCGGGAGTTGTCTTTTTAAAAAGAAACAAAGAAAGAAGAAAGAAATACATATATATAGTGCAATCCTATTTGTAGTTTAAAAAATAATTCTACTATTATTTATTTGCAATGGTTATAAGCAAACTATTTCTTTTAAATTACCTCAGAAAAAACTGTTAGCACTAGACCGGTTACATAAAAAAAAAGACCGCTTACATAAAACTAGAGCCGCGGTGCGGCCGGACGCGGAGGCGCGTGACAGATATGTTTATGTGCGGAAACACTTGCGCAGTTTTTAGCGGAACTACCACCATCACCGTGTCGGCGTCTTTGTGACGTCAAGCATCATAAAAAGTGATATACCTACTTACGTCACAACGACATAGAATTTCAGTCCTGTAAAACGTTTTGCGGTACCGCAATTTGTTTCGTACTTGAATTACTGTAGCATAAATACAAATATGTAAATAATAAATTTATATTATAATTGAAATAAAATATTCGATTTAATAACAGATTTTGTATTACGATGATTTACTGCATTTTAAGGGTAAGTAGTGCCAAAATAATTTACCATAGATTTAATTAGATTCCATTCCATTTCCATTAGATTTAATATACCATAGATTTTGTTTATGATCTCAACCGTTATTGTTTATCAAATACAGTTTTTTTGCTTTTCAGTTAGGTACTACTTATGTAATACATTCAGGGAGAAAAAATGACCACTCTTATGCTTCTTGGTTGCTTCGTGGTCCTCAGACTCGAGAAATCGAGGACGAGAAATCCTTAATTCAACGAATCCTACTAGAAGAGTGCAAGGAACGACTGCACGCCGTTATCGCGACGGTAAGACCCGTTATGGAGGATTGGTTCGAGAGGCATCACGAAAGCCTCTCATACTACCTGTCGCAGGTGCTCACTGGGATAGGATGCTTCCGGGATCACCTGTGTCTGATCCGCAAGGAGTCAACGCCTGAGTGCCGCAATTGCGATGGCCGGTCCGAGGACACGGCGCTCCACACGCTGGCAGAATGTGGGTGGAGCAGAGGCGTGACCTCGTGGCAGCCATCGGAGTGGGAGTTCTCTCGCTCGGTAACATGATTGAGGCCATGGTGCAGAGCGAGAGTGCGTGGAACTCTGCCGTCTCCTTCTGCGAGCAAGTTATGCTTGCGAAGGAGATGGCGGAGAGGGACCGAGAGAGGTTTGGAACTCTCCCGATCCGCCAGGCTCGGAAGCGGGCCAGGTACCGCAGACGAATCAGGTGCCGGAGGTCGCAGAACGACCTCCGTCCTCCATAAGCGCAGGCTTGGGGGTGACAGGTGAGGCCATCTGTCACCCTAGCGGAGGCGGGTCGGGGTGGCGGTGAGACGCGCTCCAGACCGCGCGCGCCCTTTCGGGAGCACAAGGGGAGCATGGGGGTTCCCACACAGGAGGGAGTCATCTGCCCGCCGTGGATTGCCCGTGGTACGTCGGGGTACCAGGGATTTCTTTTCTAAGGTTCTGGGTACAGGTAAACGAAACGGCGTGCGGTTTTAGGTCGGTTCGAGTATGGCATAGCCACCGATGGGTGGTATCCGAGGGGATTTCCGCACAGAAAAAAAAAGAAAAAAGTTTTTTTATTGATGTACATGGGTGATATATCACAAGAGCCATCGTTGATTCGGTATGTTGCATTAAGTACGACCACAACTCGGTGACAAGCCGTACTGGACCTGAAATGGGAGAATAGTCGAAGCAAAGATCACTCCGAACTACTTCAGTTCTGACAACGAACTAGTTCACTATAGTAATGTTATTAGTTCTGTTCGGTATTAGTTTTCCGATGAACTGTAAAGTATTTACTGCATAGCTTTCATACTAGAATTTTAGGATTGCTTAAATAGACGAAACTTTGGTGGAGATAGTGTTAATAAAAGAAGCGAACAATATAATAATAATGACAAACGAACTCGAACTCTAACCAAAAATTGACTTTCCATATCGTCGAAATGCCCTCAGCTTAAACCTCGGATCTAATAGAGTAGTGTCTGATAAACATAACAGTAAACATAACATTAACTTAACATTAACGTTACTTATTAATTTTATAACAGTTTTATGGAATAGTTTTAAAAAGCCGAAAGCATACCGAGGTCTACTAATACTAATTTATTTAAAGAATAAAATTGTCAAAGTCAACTGCAATTTTAAATGTAAACAAATAATTAACGTAAAGTAATGCCAAAATAACCATTATATTGTGTGACATAAGGGTAAACCTGGTGTCACACAATATAATGGTTATTTTCATTCGCCATTCGCTATTTCGTCGCGAGCCATCACACACACCCACACAAATACGTTGTGAGTAACGTAACGCAGTCTTATAATTCGTTTAAACGAGCTCTCGCTCGTGTAACATTCTCTATCACATAGCCGTTTAGTTTGATTTGGGCGCGCATGTACCAGAGGAGAGCGGACGAACGTGGTGAACGAATACGGATAACAGATTCACATTTATGAATATATCTATTCGGTCAGTGCAACTGAACGGTTCCTAATAGTTCATCGTTCGCGAACTACTCAACCCGTCTGGCCAGCGTGGTATAGTAGGCCAAAACCTCCTTTCTCAGGAGAGGCCTATGTCCAGCAGTGGACTAGTATAGGCTGTTGATGTGATGATGATTGATGTGCACTACTCAAGACTACAAAGATATGTCCTCAACGGTCCACAAACCTACATAGTTTATAACCTGAATTAACATATTGATACCCTTAACTATGTAAATCGGGTAAACGATGCTTTTCTGTTGCGGAAAAGTCGCAATAAAAAGGTGATAGTTTATAAATCCTAACTTTAATAAAGACAACTAAAACGACTCAGTATACATCCTTATAAAAGTATTGTTGGCAACTCTACCTACAATACTCATATAAGGAAGATTTTATATATTAATATAAAAGGTCTCGGAGCTTATGCCTTGTACGTTACTTATTAATTTTATGCAACAATTAAACTAAATGAAATAACTATAACACACTGTTGAAAATAAAAATATTATTGTATATAAGACAGACAGACCTTATAACCGCGTTTTATGTTTAAATTATCTTTTTAGTTTATGTTTTTAATGTTATTTAAATGTTTACATAGAAATAAAATGTTTTAAAAACCTTTTTTCTTATAATTATTTATTACAATCTCATTCAAAAAGTACAAAACGTGCAAAAGTAGCACTTCAGTGTAGGCACTCGTTTCAAAAGTGAGGAATATCAAAGCTAAACATTAAAATTTGACATAAGAAAGAATTGAAAATAGAAAAGCTTGAAAAAAGTTTCTCTATCAAAAGTATCATATACATATTTTAATCGAATGATTTGAATTTAGTTTAAAAAAAAACGACTTTAACATATTTCCTATAATACAAATATTCTTAATATAAAAGATTTGGTGAAGACACGCAAGCTTATCTCTGATAAGTGCCTAAGTACGAGTTGCAGTTGGGGCAGTAATGGTCTGCATTCTGACATGAATTCACGCAGTAAGGTACGCATACGCACGGCCAGCACCTAAAACAAAGAAAATACACATTATTACAAAATGACCAAGTCAATGAAGGGTAGAACCTGAAACTAGAATTAACACTTTTCAAATTAGTTACTTTTAGTAGGACCGTAGGGGGCAAATGAACAGGACCAAAATCCAGCTATTTTATGTTACCGTGCAAGCCACTATCATTCCATTGACGAGAAGCCATTGACAACATCGGTAAATATCGGTATTCTATTAATATAAATTTACGATGTCAATGGACTGTCGATGTAGTGACAATGGTGATATCAACATTGCCATATTTGGAAAATTAACTATATAATTTCCTAACAAATTAAAAATATACTGATTACCAAACTATTACTCGTACTAAGACATCGACGACATAACAAGTAGTAGCTAGTAGAATACAAAAAATGCAAAAGTATTCCATCGACAGTCTATTGTTACAATATTAAAATAGCGGAATTGAGACCCAGAAGGCCCCTTGAAGAAGAGTGACTATCACGCCCTATGGACACCTGCAACGCTAAGATCCAGAAGTTAGCTGATAACTTTCTTTTCTTTCTTTATATATCTATATATCCTGTGTTGCAGGGGACTATACAATCATACATGAAACCGATACAAAGAGCACCCAGACTCAGAACAATTTGTAGATCACACAAAGTGGTGTCCAATGTGGGGATCCAGCGCAGTAGGAAGCGGCGTGGCGACTACGCTATCCGTGCATTACGTGAAAAAGAAGGTTGTGTATGACTACGTCTTTTACTGTTAAACGATAGGAAATCGTACAGAATAACTGTTAACAATTACATAAATATAATTAAGGTTTATGATTCTTATTTTATTTGAAGTTAAAATGTACCATATTAACTTTTATGTTTTATTTTTTATAAATTATAAAGACACACCTTAATAATGTTTGTCGCGGTTTTATTCTATACATTTTACATTGAAAATTCAAAATTCAGTTCAATATGAGGTGCAAAGACATTTGCGAAAAATAGTACCAATCATTCAACAAATAATAGAAATCTATGCAACCAAAATTAATTTTGCTTTTATCTATTTGAGGGCAAGATTTGAAATACAATCTAACATAACATGTTTTATAACATTCGTCTCTTTCTGTTCTATTACGGGTACTACGTAGAAAAAATGGACAGTCTTGTTAATTTTTGTTCGACAGTGAATGGTTTAGTAAAACAAATAAAGAATATTTTATAAACGTTTGAATATTCTAAATGTAGGGTCACAACTCACTATTTTTAAATTTGACTCATAGCCCACTTTTTTCACTGGGTATTTTTACACGTGCATAATATAGCACATTAGAATTAGATGGCCTCCGATAACCTCACTCACTCGGTGAAAAGTAACGAAAAAACTGCTTAACGCCGGTTTTCTGTGAGGCCGTGGCATCACTCCGGTCGAGCCGACCTAAATGAGCCGCAACATGAGTCTCCCACGGTAATAATTGTCCCAGGTATTAATTTCTTCATAAATGTTGATTTCCAAATAGATATAGATATCTAATTTGCAATGATTTATAGGCGAGGTTATTCTTAAGAGGATAATGTATATTCTTGAGTTTTGGGTACAGTCCAATAAATGTGTAAAAATAGACACCAACGTCTGATCTCCACATTCATTACAAAAAAAACTACAATGATAAAACTTCGATGATGTCATTAACGGCACGAGATTATAATAAATTATTTTAGGTGGTAAAAGATAGGCAATTTGACTCTTGAAATGAAAACCGCTTTAATAGAACTCATTTACATAAATGTAGGAAAACATCATTTACGCATGAGAACATTAGTTTACATAAGATCAAAGATAATTCTAATGTAGATAAATGTAAAGATGAAGAAAATTTATTTGCTATTAATTTTCATTAGACGGAATTCTTTCGATTGGGTTTTATTCTAGATTAAATAATCTTTATACATTAAAAATACATACATAATTGCATTAGCACTAGGCAAACAATCAAACGGATCACCTGTAGTAAGTGACTAGTGCTGCTCATAGACATCTGCAACTCAGGAGTCTCAAGTCCGTTGCCAGCCTTTGAGATAGGTATATACTATTTTCTTAAAAGTATGGGGACACGTAGGTGGTGTCGGTATGAAAATGCCACAGGGAAACATTTGTTACAGAGATTGGTTCTGCGAGGATGCGGTTAAAGTATACAGGGTAAAAATACGTATCTACGTAATACTAATGTGGAATGAGGCCTAGTGGTTGAAGTAGGGCTGGCGTGCCTCTGCCTAGAGATGAGAATAATATTCTATATAAAAACTGAATGTGCGTGTTATAATATTTTTTTCTTCATTTATTCTTGTTTTTATTTTATTAATTTCTTTACGTAGAAATGTTAGGCTATTCAAACAACGCTAACACCTGTTAATCGTTTTAGTTCCCGAATTAATAATAACAAACTAGTGACCATTGAAGCTGGTAAAAAAATCATTTATGTACCTTACTATGTAGTTATCATGTGTTTATGCATACGTCTAATAGGCATTTCTGTAACCACTTTATATTATAAATTATTATCAACATCCGTTCACCCGTTTCATTTTTTCAGTGCAAACAGAATTGAAGGTCACGATGATGTCATGGTGTTATAAACGAATAATGGTGGTCTATGTTTTGTTAATGAATAATAATAACTAAGATTTATACACCTTTTATTTAGCACAGATAGTTTGAATATATTTGCCATGTAATTACTAAAGTAAAGTAAAGTAATTAGTAAAGTATTTACAATTACTTCAATATTTAGAAAGTAATGGTAACACTGTAACTTTTACGTTTTAAAGGACCGATTAGTCTAGTAGTTAGAGACCCTGACTTCTAAATCATAGATGTGATGAGAACGATCATTTTATTTTATGCCTAATTCATTCGCCTATGTATAATTTATATACAATATACACATTTGTATTTAATAATATATAACTATGTTTATCAACAGCTGCAGTCTGGTATATTAACCAAAATGAATAAAGGCTACACAGTGTGTAGTTTGGATTCAGAAGACAGAGTGTGAGGTGTCTTATTTTATGATAAGAATTTATCATAAATAGGTCATCAATAAATCAGCATTTTGAGATATAATAATCAAGTAATTATTTATTTAAAATTCAGTCATTTGTTTGAGATAGTGTTTTGTTTTGTGAAATTGTGGTAATTTTTGGTGGAATGGATAAACTGAAAATTAGTACAATTTTCGATTATGAGTTCCTACGTGGAAATACCGCTGCAACATGAAATACGTGTACGGGCCTAACACTGCTTACATAAACGCGGTCCATTATTGGTTTAATCATTTTAGATCTGGAAATTTTGAGTTGAAGAACGAGCCCATCGTTGTCGACTATGGTTGTTAGCCGACCGCTAAGAACCATAGTCGACAACGGTGAATTGAAGGCGATAGTTCAAGCGGATCCAAATAAATCTACAGCTTAGCTTGCTGAGGGCAGTTAGTTTCAAAACAACATTGAAGCACTTGCGCCAAATCGGAAAGGTTAAAAAGCTAGATAAGTGGGTGCCACACGAACTCAGCGACTGAATCGGCATCGAAACGAGGCAATACTGCGATGCAACTGCGATGAAAATTGGATCTTATACGACACCCATAAGCGTTCGTCTCAGTGAGTAGACCCGGGAACAACGAACTTTTAAGTGGGAAACAAATTCAACACCCGAGAGGTGGTACAAAACGCTTTTGCTGACTTCATCGCCTCCCATTCAGCAGACTTCTACAGTAAAGAGATAAACAAACTGCCATCAAAATGTCAAAATTGTATAGTATAGTAGTATATATAATACCTTGATTAGCTAAAATAAGGTGTCACCAAAATGTTTACATGTACCTAATGTTTTGAAATTATCATACAAATGTCCAGCTTCATAGCTAGACCGAGGTAAATAGAAGTTTAATTTGAAAAACTACGATGAATATGTGCTGTGAAGTATGATGATATTTTCTGACTAACTTAGAAATGCCGATAAAATATATCAGAACTAAAGATAATTAATATTAATAAACTTGCTTAAATAATTAGAACTCAAGCGATTCTGAATTTAATCTGAATTCTTAGATCGTCTTAGACTAAGGCCTAACATCTACTTTATTTCGGTTTCATAATAAATCAAGTATACAAGTTACAATATAACTAATCATCATCATCATCATCAACAGCCTTTAATAGTCCACTGCTAGACATAAGCCTCTCCTTAGAAAGGAGGTTTTGGCCTACTATACCACGCTGGCCAGAAGGAAAACTTCACAAACCCTTTTTTTTTTTTTTAACGTGTGGAAATCCCCTCGGACCGTCACCCCACCGGGGTTTGCGGCGGGGTGGTGTGTCGGACTCGGACCGACTAAAACCACACGGTGTGCCACTCTGCGCCTGTAACAGGAGGGATCCGGGAACAGCTGTTGTTAAGACATCCGGACCCCTCCTAGCGCCAGCCCGCTCCTGGTGCGGGCTCCGTCTCAATATTTTTCCTCTCTTTAGGCGACGTCCGGCACACGCGGACGCCGCTCCCTCGCGGCTGGCCAAACTAATGCGGGTGGAGGGGAAACCCACCCCGTCCACCCGCGGCCACACTCAGGGCGGCATGAGGCGGTGATAGGCGGGCCTCAGCCGCCCGGTTCGCCGGCGGCGGATCGGGTCCGAGTGGAGGTAGTCCTCCCGGGCCCTCTCCGCCGCCTCCTTCCGCAAGATTACTTTCTCGCAGAAGGTTGCGACCGCGGTAAAACAACTGTCGCTACCGGCCATGGAGCGTACTACGGCCGGCAGCGAGAGATCCACTCCGATGACTGCGGTGAGGGCCCGGCGCTGCGCCGCCCATGCGGGGCAGACCGCCAGCGTGTGTTGGGCCGAGTCCTCACTGCAGTCGCAGTGGTGGCAGGCGGGACTCAGTTCCCTCCTAGCGACCGAGTGCAGGTACTTTCCGAAGCAACCGTGCCCGGAAAGCACCTGCCGTCAGCTGG